AGTGTGTAGGGGGCATTTAATTCTCACATTTACACACACTCGTTCCAAGTGGTATTCCATCTAGCAAGGCAATGCATAATAATATCAGAACCAAAAATATTTGCTTTAGAAACTATAGGCTACGCACAATATTTTATTGTACAATTATAAGGAAGTATAATAAGTGGGATGTTCATTAATCTCATTAAAGATATAACAAGGATAAGGTAGACAATCACAGGTGTCCTTTGCAAAAAAATTTTAACATGCTACTTAAAGCATACCACCATAAAGTACAGATATACATCACTAGAAATGTTGTGAAATGCACTATTTGACAAAAATTGTTTATTTTCAGCTTGATCTAATTGTAAACCAAATGGGGCATCACAATTCAAAATGGACAATGTTCCTTTAAGCAAATTAATCACATATAAAATCTGACTGCTCAAGTAAATCCTCTGCACAGTTTCAATCCTGATGGGTTGGTCTTGAAAAACTTGTTGGGATTTTTCAATATTCTTACTGGTTGCTTTGCAATTTACCTGAGTTGTAACAACCATACTGTATGGTGACTTTGATAACACCAAAGTGATAGATGAAGGAAACTTTCAAATTCAAACAGAATTCATGATGCAGTGCATCTGTTCAGTTATAGATCACATATGACATCCAAATATAGCAGGATCATCCTGTAGTGACACCCTCAGCTCCACCTAACATACCAATTTTTTCCTCTTTCCATGTCCTCATGATGTCATTTATGGTCTATTACTGAACAGATGCACCACAACATGGAATCTGTTTGTGATAAATGGAGAGTAAACTGCTTTGCTAATACTGCAACCAAATGAATGCTGAGATTGGTCAACCCTACACTAGGTTTCTCAAGGGGCATGTAGTTTCTCAAATGTTTGAAAAAGAGTATGTTTGCAGACCTCCTTTCGCTCCACGATGGACTGAGGAGAACAAGTAACAAACGAAGATATCCTGTAAGTTACATAACTTTAAATAAAATGTGTTATTTACAGTTTGTGGAAAAATGTTTTGTTCATGACATTTTCAGCTTTCATCACAGTTGTATCAGCCTTGCCTTGATGCACAATCCTTCCTTTTTTTTTCTCTTCTTTGCCCAACTTTAATTATGGACCTCTACCCCATGAACCCACAAATTGGAAATTTAAGAGGTTAAAATTTTGTACCTTGTACTGATGTCTACTGTCATTTTCACCTGCCTACACAGACCAATGATCTCCTCAGCCCATTAACTCCCCAAAGGGCTGAGGAGAAAGAGAAAAGGTTTGCATCCCACACAACAATAGAGATAGAAGCATGGTGAAACAACAATCCCCCTGAAGGGACCTGGTGCTAAGTTGGCCAATCCCAGCATTTATTCTGACCTCAGCATTTGCAAAGTTGCTTAATGTAAAGATAATGACACTCATTTCGTTATAATTTCAGATTCTCTGGTTCAACTGATATAATTACAAGAATTGCTAAATCAAATAGAAAGATCTTACCTTGCCTCTCTTAATACCATCTTTCTCACACATGTTGCATTGTTGTGGATACTGGGGGCAGTTTTCAAAATGTTGCTGAAACCGGAAAAAGCGTTAGTTATTGCTTAAATTATATGTCTCGTGGTATAGATTTTGATATGAAAGTTATTTTACAACCACTTAAGAAGAGGTATAAAAATTAAACAATAATAGAAAATTAAATTTAAGGGAGGGTCATAATTTTTTTTTGCAAATCACAAGATGGCCAATGTTGGCAGGATGCTTGGAGGCAAAATTCTTTCACATTATAATAGGATCGATACCTAAAAAAAAAAAAAGAATGTGAGGGAAACGAACAAATCATCATAGCCCCTGTAGTTGTCTTTTAATAAATTATTAACTAGTCCTTTCCATAAGAGTTAGCCCTTACCTTTTTCTGCAATTAAACAACAGAGTTGAAAAAAGGGTGAAGGGAGGGGAGGGGAGGGGGGTTGGGAGTTCCCAAAAACAAATGATCTGAATCAATACATAGTCTTAGCCTTCTGCAAATGTGCACCAGCAATAAAGCCTTTGGAGCATACATCTATAATTACATGTATAGTGAAAAATGTCAGATGACGTTCCTTGACTGTTGTAGACAATGTATTATGTATTCATTGACTGAGTTTGGTCGCACTGGACCAAATGTTGTCCTGTCTGGCCTGACCAAACTCAATCAATAAGCTTCTTATCATATGACTATATATATAATAATTGTTGAAAATGTTGTTCAACCCAATGGGAATGTGATAGATGGGTACATAAGGGACAACCACAAAAAAGATTTTTCAATTCAAATTTTCTTTAGAACAACAAGAAACTTGCAGTTTATGAGTGTGAGTGTGGGACAGGAGAGCGAATTGAGACCAGCTCACATCAACTCATCCTGCTCCATACAGGTCTGTTTTTACTACAGGTTTTCTATGGGATTGTGTGGGAGGGGTTGCACATCATATTATATATAGTATTACACAATTCAGGGTTACAAATAATATCAGTGGGGAATACCATGTGATTTTAATGTATGAAAAAAACAATTAACAAATCTGTGTCTACCTCCAATTCATTCCATAAAACTGCCTCATTACAATAATCACAGGAGATTTTCCTGAGCAGACATTCTGTTGCCATGTGTTGCTGGAGATCTTTCCGTTTTACTTGTTTCTCACAGTCATTAGGGCAGCCAACCATAACATATGGACACTCACTTCGGTGATCCTATTATACAGATGCAAATTGGTCATTTTCAATAGCACAAGTTCTCTACCTGGAGCCAATTGTACTTGCAGTTGTTTCTACACCTTATTTCATTGCCAGCAGGTAAAGTAATGTGCAGAAAGAAAATTATCAAAAGTCTATGGGATCTTTTTTGAGGGGCTTTTCAGTTTTTAGATAATCTAAGTATGTCTGCTGTGATGCCAAGATCTTTACTTTGTGTAAAAGAATGCACCTTTTTTGATGTGTGTATCTTCTAGAGAAAGTACATCTCTTCTTTTACTAAATGAGCCATTACCAGTATGTTTGTTAAACATTTATTGATTTTCAACTGAGTTGATTGTTGAATTAGCTTTAATTATGTCACTTTCTAATTATATTTCCTATTAAATAATAATGGATAAAATACAGATCCACTCTATTGCTGTTAATATTAATGTCTTCCATTTTCAAGTAATAATTATTTAATTAATAACAATTCTCACAGGTTCACACAAAAACAAAAGAGATTTTCCAAATTACAAAGCAACTGTTTTCCATTTGTTTTCCTTCTTAGGATACTTTGGTTTAACAACCTTATTTTCTGACAAACTCAAGAGAAAATACCTCTAACTCTCCAAGGTTTCCTTTCCAAAGACATTCATTTTCTCTATTTGCTTGACAAAAAACCTGAAGGGTCATCATCTCTCGTTCTGCAAACTTGTCTGGGTATATCTTGGGTTAAAATATAAAAATGATAATAAAATAAACTCATTTAGCGACCAACAATGGGTTCAATTCTAAGTAACAAAAGGAACTTTGCTGTTTGCTTCAAATTAACATGATTTCTCAAGCAATTTGGTGTAAATAGGCACTTGTAACTTTTCAAAGACTAAAACTTTCACTTGCCCTAAGGGGGTGCACTTGAAATCAAGCTATTACCATTTTGCCAAAAAGATGATGGTTCTCTACCTTTCTATGCACAGAGGGTCCCCAATAGGCTTCTTCAGTCCTGCAATCCCTACTAAAATTTTACTTCAATCCTGTAATTTTGCTGGTCTGCACAATCAATTGTGATCCTGATCATAAACGCTTGTTCTTAGTCCATTCCCTCAACTTAAAAGGGCCTTTACAGTGGATGGTGATTTTCTCAACCAGAATTGATACATTGAAGTCTTTACTCACCGTTAGGTGTAAGTTTATCTATTTTCACCCAAATGATATCATTCATTTTAGAAGTTTTCAAAGTTTTACAAGAATAACATACGGTAGTCACAGTAATGACTTCCTTCTTTTAAACTTTGATCATGGAAAATATCATCAGTAAAGAGGGTCCCCAATAGGTTTTTCGGGATCCAGGATTTGGCTTATTTGAAGGCTGGCATCCAAGAATTTAGAGTAACAAGGGAGTGAGATGTAGGATTGTTATTGTGAATGGGACACGGGAATCAGCAATTTTGAGGGATGGGATTCAGGGATCAATCACTTAAACACTTTGAGAACCAGGAAGTCAGTTGACGAGAAAAATTGATCTACATGAAAGTCCAAAAAAAAGTCTAGCCTCCCATGCAGCAGTTTCTATGTGATTGTTGTGCATTTATTACAAGGATCCACTTTACATGGCATTAAATTGCACAAGAAACTTTGGAAATGCAGCCAAAGAAGGCTTGAAGGGGACAACCTAGAGGGTGGTGTATTATTTAACAAATTCAAAGTCTTGGTATCCTGTACCCAAATGTGCCATGATCCTGTCAGCCATACCGGTAATCAAATGTTATCACCTGTACCAATAGCACCACAGAACACACAGAAGATGAAAGACTGAGTACAAACATTTGGAGTAGCAGCGCGTCAGATGGCAAAAGCTGGTACTCTCCTGACGTACCTCAATCAGAGAGAAATTTGGCTGGGTGAACCAGTCAGCTTCAAACTCTCTCACTTTGAGGAGTAGCAAAAAAAAAAAAAAAAAAAAAAAAAAAGACCCCAGCAGTGACAAGGAATCAGATTAGTCATTTCCAGATGATGAGACTGCATGTGATGATAGTCACTCTATCTTTGGAATGAGAGACTCATTTTATCCACAGAAGATTTTTCCCACATCGGAAGAAGTGTTTGCTTTAATAGAAGAATTGTGTTATGGAAGCAATAGAAGCAATGGGATTGTCGTCACCTTTTTTGTTTACGTACTTGTTGACATTGTAATTTGTTTCTTTGAAACTGACCTGTCTTTATTGATATGTTTATCCGTGATCAAAGTTAAAAGGAAGGAAGTTGTTACCATGACAAGTGTACGTTATTCATGTAAAACTTTGAAAACTTCAAAATGAACAATATTGTTGGGGTGAAAAGAGATAAATTTATGTCTTATGGTGAGCAAAGTCTTCAATGGACCAATGCTGGATGAGAAAACCATCACCCACTGAAAAGGTCCTTAGTTGAGGGAATGGACTAGGAACAAAAATTTATGACTGGGATTGGGATTGGCCAGTATAAACCATTGGGATTACAGGACTGAGACAAAATTTAAGTGGGGATAGCAGGATTAAAGACCCTATTAGGGACCCTCCATAAAGACAGGTCAGTATCAAAGTAACAAATAACAAAGTCAACAAGAGCGTATAACAACAAAATTTGACGGCAATCCCATTGGTTCCATAAGAAGGAAAATAAAGGAAAATTAACTGAACACAATATTCCAAACTGGGGAAAATCTTCCATGATGAAAAGGAGCCTCTTGTTCCAAAGATGGTATGTCATCATCATCACATGTGGTCTTGTCATCTGGAAATCACTCATCCGATTCCTCATCACTGCTAGGAAATCATACTCTAATATGTCATTTTCCCCTTCATCTGCTTTTCTACTGCTCCTCGAAGCCAGAGAGTGTTTGAAGCTGAGTGGTTCACCCAAATCCAAAATCCAAAAAATTTCCCCAAATCGAGAAAATTATTGTCATGTGACACTTCCCCCAGTAGTCTCTGCTTTGTCACAATAAAGCACATTGTGTCGCACTAGGTTGCACTAGGAGGGGGTGAATAGGGGTATGGAATCCTCAAATCCTTTGTGATTTAAAAACCCAAATCTATAGATCCATTTCACGAAAAAATTAAATCTGAATCCGTTTGCAACCTAGATTAGTGAAAAATGTACCTTGAGCTTTTGTGTGTTAGCTATTAATTAAAATAAATTTTCAAAAAATGTCCTTATGCTTTTTATAGGACCTTTAACTAAATACGATAATTTTTTAAAATTTAAATTTTAAACAATTTTTAAACATTTTTTTTAACTCAACTTTTGAGCAGCACTCTGCAAACAGTTGTTGTAAAACTTGTTTTATTCTGTGACCCAATTTTTCAAACTGTTGTAGACTTCTTCAGGGAGTTTTACAAGTAAACACTAAACGCCTACAGTTATTTATTAACCATAGTTAGCAGCTATGTGGGTCAAAGACCTTAAAGGCTTAGCCAGATTTATGAACAGGAACAGGTGCAGTTGTGAGAAATTTTAAAGGCAAGCTGGCAAAAAGATTTGGGGCCATATTTTTTCTCAACTTGCCTTAAATATATTTCACGTAATAGCTGCTAACTATGGCTTATAAATACAAGAGGTTAGCGGTTACTTGTAAAATATAACGCAAACTGATAAGAACTCAAAGACAACATATCCCTTTGCCAACATGTTTCAGCTTACTGGCCATGGTGCATTACTATTTCTCTAGACTGTGTGACATTCAGTGAGCCTTGACCATGATGAAGAAATAACAGTACCACACAGACCACAAAAACAAACAAAACAAAATATTTCTGACAATCACTGAGATCCACGATCCGAACCTTATCACAAGCAAAATCCAAAATCTGGGCCCAAAAAATCACTGAAAACCACAGACCACTACCATTGCAGGATTTGCAAATATGTCAATATTACGCTCTGAATCCAAAATCTAGGCAAATACACTGTCAGAATCCGCTGATCCATTTGCTTATTCACTCCCCTCCACTTTGTCACTACCTGGAGTCACTAACTATGTTAACGGACTAAACTGTACCAAGAGT